AGTTAGTTAGTTAGTTAGTTAGTTAGTTAGTTAGTTAGTTAGTTAGTTAGTTAGTTAGTTAGTTAGTTAGTTAGTTAGTTAGTTAGTTAGTTAGTTAGTTAGTTAGTTAGTTAGTTAGTTAGTTAGTTAGTCGTTAGTTAGTTAGTTAGTTAGTTAGTTAGTTAGTTAGTTAGTTAGTAGTTAGTTAGTTAGTTAGTTAGTTAGTTAGTTAGTAGTTAGTTAGTAGTTAGTTAGTTGTTAGTTAGTTAGTTAGTTAGTTAGTTAGTTAGTTAGTTAGTTAGTTAGTTAGTTAGTTAGTTAGTTAGTAGTTAGTCGTTAGTTAGTTAGTTAGTTAGTTAGTAGTTAGTTAGTTAGTTAGTTAGTTAGTAGTTAGTTAGTTAGTTAGTTAGTTAGTTAGTTAGTTAGTTAGTTAGTTAGTAGTTAGTTAGTTAGTAGTTAGTTAGTTAGTTAGTTAGTTAGTTAGTTAGTTAGTTAGTTAGTAGTTAGTTAGTTAGTTAGTTAGTTAGTTAGTTAGTTAGTTAGTTAGTTAGTTAGTTAGTTAGTAGTTAGTTAGTTAGTTAGTTAGTTAGTTAGTTAGTAGTTAGTTAGTTAGTTAGTTAGTTAGTTAGTTAGTTAGTTAGTTAGTTAGTTAGTAGTTAGTTAGTTAGTTAGTTAGTTAGTTAGTTAGTAGTAGTTAGTTAGTTAGTTAGTTAGTTAGTTAGGTAGTTAGTTAGTTAGTTAGTTAGTTAGGTAGTTAGTTAGTTAGTTAGTTAGTTGTAGTTAGTTAGTTAGTTAGTTAGTTAGTAGTTAGTTAGTTAGTTCGTAGTTAGTTAGTTAGTTAGTTAGTTAGTTAGTTAGTAGTTAGTTAGTTCGTTAGTTAGTTAGTTAGTTAGTTAGTTAGTTAGTTAGTTAGTTGTAGTTAGTTAGTTTGTTTGTTTGTAGTTTGTTGTTTGTTTGTTTGGTTTGTTTGTTGTTTGTTTGTTTGTTTGTTTGTTGGTTGTTTGTTGTTGTTTGTTTGTTGTGTTTGTTTGTTTGTTTTTTGTTTGTTTGGTTTGTTGTTTGTTGTTTGTTTGTTTGTTGTTGTTGTTTGTTTGTTTGTTTGTTTGTTTGTTTGTTGTTTGTTTGTTTGTTTGTTGTTTGTTTGTTTGTTGTTGTTTGTTTGTTTGTTTGTGTTGTTTGTTTGTTTGTGTTTGTTTGTTTGTTTGTTTGTTTGTTTGTTGTTTGTTTGTATTGTTTGTTTGTTTGTTGTTTGTTTGTTTGTTTGTTTGTTTGTTGGTTGTTTGTTTGATTTTGTTTGTTGTTTGTTTGTGTTGTTTGTTTGTTTGTTTGTTTGTTTGTTTGTTTGGTTTGTTGTGTTTGTTTGTTTGTTTGTTTGTTTGTTTGTTTGTTTGTTTGTTTGTTTGTTTGTTTGTTTGTTTGTTTGTTGTTGTTTGTTTGTTTGTTTGTTTGTTTGTTTGTTTGTTTGTTTGTTGTTTGTTTGTTTGTTTGTTTGTTTGTTTGTGTTGTTTGTTTGTTGTTTGTTTGTTTGTGGTTGTTTGTTTGTTGTTTGTTGTTGTGGTTTGTTTGTTTGTTGTTGTTTGTTGTTGTGTTTGTTTGTTGTTTGTTTGTTATGTTTGTTTGTTTGTTTGTTTGTTTGTTTGTTTGTTTGTTTGTTGTTTGTTTGTTTGTTTGTTTGTTTGTTTGTTTGTTTGTGTGTTTGTTTGTTGTTTGTTGTTTGTTGTTTGTTTGTTTGTTTGTTTGTTGTTGTTTGTTGTTTTGTTTGTTTGTTTGTTTGTTTGTTGTTGTTTGTTTGTTTGTTTGTTTGTTTGTTTGTTTAGTTGTTTGTTTGTTTGTTGTTTGTTGTTTGTTTGTGTTTGTTTGTTTGTTTGTTGTTTGTTGTTTGTTTGTTTGTTGTTTGTTTGTTTGTTTGTTTGTTGTGTTTGTTTGTTTGTTTGTTTGTTTGTTTGTTTGTTTGTTTGTTTGTTTGTTTGTTTGTTTGTTTGTTTGTTTGTTTGTTTGTTTGTTGTTTGTTGTTTGTTTGTTTGTTTGTTTGTTAGTTAGTTAGTTAGTAGTTAGTTAGTTAGTTAGTAGTTAGTTAGTTAGTTAGTTAGTTAGTTAGTTAGTTAGTTAGTTAGTTAGTTAGTTAGTTAGTTAGTTAGTTAGTAGTTAGTTAGTTAGTTAGTTAGTTAGTTAGTTAGTTAGTTAGTTAGTTAGTTAGTTAGCATCAACATATCATATCGAAGATACTTATGGGTGACATCCGCAATAAAAAAAGGTTGCTGGGTTTATAATTTGGATTTTATATATATTTTAATTCGATTGTATATTTGTATGTGTGCACTCCACATTAGGGAGTATGTGTGTGAGTATTTGTGTATTTCCTGTGTAAATAACATTTACAATTTTGTAAAGTGGGCGGTTGTTCTGGCCAACCTCGAATAAAGATACATTAAGTTGCCCTTTTAACACACCCCTCTTGGCTCGAGAAACCATAATTATTCACAATTACTAATGAAAAAAAACTTTGAAATTGGGAAAAAAAACATAAATTTTATAGAAAATTTAAAAAAATTGTATTCACGACAGAAACAATTGTTTTAAGATTCTTTTGAATTGATACATGGTATGAGTCTCTCACACCAACTTTTGACTCAACCTGTTTATAAACACGCATCATTCGAAGTCGGGCATATTTTATTGTTGTTTTTCTTTGAAACTTTTCTTATGATTTTATGGCTTTAAGCTTTTGCATGAAGTGAAGGGTAATTAATGTATTATTATTATTATTGTTGTTATTATTATTTTACTTCTTTATATTATTGTTGCGTTTTGGTATTGTTTCCATTATTGGCAATGTTTTATGTTGCTACGTTATTGTTGTTTATGAGCATTATGCCAACAGCATACGAAACATAACGTAAAAAATATGTAAAATATTGTAAGAAAACCCCAAGAATTTATAAGTTTTTACATAAAAACCCACTTATAGTGTAAGTAAACTTACAATATAACGGACACCATTTAAAAGAGTAAAAACTTGTAGTGGAAAAGAAACATTAATTTATTACAAACATTTAATGTTTTACATTACCACAAACAATTCATTCATTTAAATACTGTCTCTCTCCTCATCTACATGCGTGCAAAATTGTGGTTTTGCTGTGTTAAGACGACTCTTTATAAGATACAATCATTAATTATATGGTTAATGAATTTGTGGTAATAGCAGTATTGTAGCGAAAATAAAAAGGGCTTTAAACTTAACGGTAAACAGTAATACAACACCATGAGACATTTTAATCTCCATAAGTTCTGCACCTTCAATTAGGTGAACAATATTTTAAGTAATAAATTAAAATAATGGTTGGAATTCACCATAACAACAGAGCAATAGGTGGCAAATTGCTTATGCTTATACCCAAAGTGGGTATAAAAATTTAAGAATACAAAATATTTAAAAAAACGAAAAAAATTTAAAAAAATTCCATCGAATTTTTCATACTTCAAAGAAAAAACTATAGACCAAACTATAGACTACACTAGAGATCGGACCATCGAACGGACTATTGATTCGCCTACCGAGTAGACTACAGACTAGTCTAAAGACTAAACTAGAGAGTAGACTATAGAATAGACTATAGACTAGACTATAGACTAGACTATAGACAGGACTATAGACTAGACTATAGACTAGACTATAGACTAGACTATAGACTAGACTATAGACTAGACTATAGACTAGACTATAGACTAGACTATAGACTAGACTATGGACCAGACTATAGACTAGACTATAGACTAGACTATAGACTAGACTATAGACTAGACTATAGACTGGACTATAGACTAGACTATAGAAGAGACTATACACTAGACTATAGACTAGACTATAGACTAGACTATAGACTAGACTATAGACTAGACTATAGACTAGACTATAGACTAGACTATAGACTAGACTATAGACTAGACTATAGACTAGACTATAGACTAGACTATAGACTAGACTATAGACTAGACTATAGACTAGACTATAGACTAGACTATAGACTAGACTATAGACTAGACTATAGACTAGACTATAGACTAGACTATAGACTAGACTATAGACTAGACTATAGACTAGACTATAGACTAGACTATAGACTAGACTATAGACTAGACTATAGACTAGACTATAGACTAGACTATAGACTAGACTATAGACTAGACTATAGACTAGACTATAGACTAGACTATAGACTAGACTATAGACTAGACTATAGACTAGACTATAGACTAGACTATAGACTAGACTATAGACTAGACTATAGACTAGACTATAGACTAGACTATAGACTAGACTATAGACTAGACTATTAGACTATAGACTAGACTATAGACTAGACTATAGACTAGACTATAGACTAGACTATAGACTAGACTATAGACTAGACTATAGACTAGACTATAGACTAGACTATAGACTAGACTATAGACTAGACTATAGACTAGACTATAGACTAGACTATAGACTAGACTATAGACTAGACTATAGACTAGACTATAGACTAGACTATAGACTAGACTATAGACTAGACTATAGACTAGACTATAGACTAGACTATAGACTAGACTATAGACTAGACTATAGACTAGACTATAGACTAGACTATAGACTAGACTATAGACTGGACTATAGACTAGACTATAGACTAGACTATAGACTAGACTATAGACTAGACTATAGACTAGACTATAGACTAGACTATAGACTAGACTACACTGTAGACTAGACTATAGGCTAGATTATAAACTACACAATGGACTAGAATATAGGCTACACAGAGAAAACAGTTTCGTTGTGATAACCGAATTTGTTTCCAATCGAATTTGGTCGGTTATGACAACTATCACATAAATCGTTTGCAATAGCCGAATATTTCAATTCTTTATACCGAATTCTTTAATTATAATAACTGAATATATTGGTTAGCGCAACTGCAAATGGTATTAAAAAATTCGATTCTTATAATCGAAACACTCGATTGTTATAAATTACATAATTTTTTGTTTATTTATATTTATTTTTGGTAGATTTACAATGTAAATATACGCTTACATACATTTAAAAGAAATTTTACACTCGCGTAAATTCCAATTTGCTTCAGATCCAACACTGTTTTGAAACATAAATTTTTCTCTACAGAATTTTCTTGAGAAGCTATATTAAATTTGAAGAAAATTATTAAATTAGGACCAGACACATATTAAAGAAAATGAGATGCAATTACAAACCTCAATATATTTTTAGAAAATCTAATCCTTCGTGTTTAATGGACAGATTACTTTACCTAATGGTCACCAAATTTTTCCCAAACTAGCTATTTATGTTGACAATGGAACTAAGCTAAAAGAAATACCAATTACATTTGTGTGCTTCGTGAATTGGTATCAAACTTACCTTGCTGCACACATGATTTATAGAATATTTTTATTGTTTATTTTCTGTTTTCTTGATTTTCAATATAAATTAAAAATTTATTTAAATTGTTTTTATTTCTAAACGTCAAGGGAAAATAACAATTTTATCCGTTGGGAATGCCGAATTGAAAATTTTGTATACATTAACCGAATTTATTTGTTACAATGACCAATGTTTGATATTGAGACATGTTTTAATGAATTCTAGCTTGATACATCTATCGAATTTTATAGATAGTTTTCCTAATATTACGATTCGATTATGTTAAATATATATACAGTTGTTTAGACCTTAATTTGATTCAAATTACTTTCTTTTGGTTTTAAACATAGAATAATAGTTGAAGTTACATTATTTTAATTATAACAATTAATTTTCTATTGTGATTATTAAATATTTATAATGTCAACCGATTTCCGACTGATCTTTTTTCTGTGTGTAGGCAATAGACTAGAATATACATATATTATTTTCTTCTACGTCTTTATAACATTCCCATTTTACAATGAAAGAAATTAAAATACATTCATTTTCATTTCGTACATAAATTCAGCCATTAAAAACTCGGCCAATAAAATACTCTTACCCACAAAACAAACATTTAAATGTACGTTTAAAAGCTCGTTAATCATTAAGCTGCTTACTCTTAAACAGTTAAACAAAGGTACGCCATGTATAACACTCTAACTAACAATGGGAGTTAAGTTTTTGGGTAAAACTCCTGCTGGCTCCATCAGACAGACAAAAAAACGAAAAGATCTTCCTCTTTCATTATTCACATTAAAAATGTTATTGTAATTTTTTGTTTTTTGGTATTTTACATGGTTAAATAAATGTGTTTGTTTTGAGTGCTTGGTTGTTTTTTTTTGCCCTTTTATTGCAGCAATTTAAATTGAGTGTGTGTTAAGCTGTTGTTGGTTTTAATGTTGTTGTAAATGTGTTTTTATTTTCTCTATATTTAAACACACCACATTATTTTAGAATTTATATTACAATTTTTATGATTTTGTTGTTGTTTTGCTATTTTTCCCCGAAATTTACACAAACACAGTTAGAAGAATGATGGGCTGAGTAAAAAAGAATAAACCCTTAAACAGACAGTCAGAAAAGACCATTTTATTATAATACAGACAGACTATAAACAACAACTTAATTTAAAATAATGTTAAATACAAACAAACAAACACACTCACACATACTATTTATTTACACACAATAAGATACATACATTCCAACACTTGCCATTTACCGCTAACTTGGCTTTGGTTTCTTTTTTGAAGCAGAAGAAAGAGTATGGGCAAAAGGAATTAAGCTTAAAGACTCCTCTATATTTTTCTACAGAAAAAAGGTAGAAAACCTTAAAAATGATATACATAAAGTACATAAAAGCAGGGATGGACAAATTTTCTTCCAATGATTTTCACTTAAATTTTCCTAAAAAATTAACAAATATTCTAAAAATATTTTTTCAAATCGCTTAGAAAATTTCTGAACTGCAGAGCAAAATGTAATAAAGCTCATAATTGATAATAATCATACGTCAAGGTGGACAAAATTATTTAACTAATTAATGAAACTAAAATAAAATATATATACAGACTAGACTATAGACTAGACTAGACTATAGACTAGATTAGACTAAACTAGACTAGACTAGACTATAGACTAGACTGTAGACTAGTCTATAGTCTATACTATAGACTAGACTAAAGACTAGACTATAGACTAGACTAAAGACTAGACTATAGACTAGACTATAGACTAGACTAGACTATAGACTAGACTATAGACTAGACTATAGACTAGACTATAGACTAGACTATAGACTAGACTATAGACTAGACTATAGACTAGACTATAGACTAGACTATAGACTAGACTATAGACTAGACTATAGACTAGACTATAGACTAGACTATAGACTAGACTATAGACTAGACTATAGACTAGACTATAGACTAGACTATAGACTAGACTATAGACTAGACTATAGACTAGACTATAGACTAGACTATAGACTAGACTATAGACTAGACTAGACTAGACTGACATAGACTAGACTAGACTATAGACTAGACTATAGACTAGACTATAGACTAGACTATAGACTAGACTATAGACTAGACTATAGACTAGACTATAGACTAGACTAATAGACTAATAGTCTATAGTCTAGTCTATAGTCTAGTCTATAGTCTAGTCTATAGTCTAGTCTATAGTCTAGTCTAGTCTAGTCTATAGTCTATCATAGTCTAGTCTAGTCTATAGTCTAGTCTATAGTCTAGTCTATAGTCCCTAGTCTATAGTCTAGTCTATAGTCTAGTCTATAGTCTAGTCTATAGTCTAGTCTATAGTCTAGTCTATAGTCTAGTCTATAGTCTAGTCTATGTCTAGTCTATAGTCTAGTCTATAGTCTAGTCTATGTCTAGTCTATAGTCTAGTCTATAGTCTAGTCTATAGTGCTAGCTATAGTCTATCTATAGTCTAGTCTATAGTCTAGTCTATAGTCTAGTCTATAGTCTAGTCTATAGTCTAGTATATAGTCTAGTCTATAGTCTAGTCTATAGTCTAGGCTAGTCTAGTCTATAGTCTAGTCTATAGTCTAGGCTATAGTCTAGTCTATAGTCTAGTCTATAGTCTAGGCTATAGTCTAGCCTATAGTCTAGTCTATAGTCTAGTCTATTGTCTAGTCTATAGTCTAGTCTGAAGTCTAGTCTATAGTCCAGTCTATTGTCTAGTCTATTGTCTAGTCTATAGTCTAGTCTATATAGTCTAATCTATTTTTACGTCTATAGTACAGGATTTTAAGCAAAATTTACTCTTTTCACTCGCTTTTTCTTAAATGACATTTCCTCTTCCCATCTCTGTCCCTATCCCTCTCTAGACTACTTATGTGAGTAAGCAGTAACAGTTCTTGTTGTTGCCAAAAGGTTGTTAGAGTTCATCTGGTTGAATTGTTAAGAGATTTATTTTGGAAAATTTTAATGTTATTTTCTTTGCAGTCAACCCAGGCATGGAAAAATACAATAATAAAGTTGTAGTTGTTATTTTCCCTCTTATTTTTGTTGTTGTTTTTGTCAATGATGTTCACAATAATGACAAAATTTTTTTACATTGAAACCATTAGGAAAATATATAAAAATTCAGTAGTTGAGGAGTAAATCTTGTAATTTTAGGGAACACAAAAACAGTTGGTTTGCCATATTTAAAGTGTTGTTTAAATAAAGAATAACAAAATATTATATTTGTTTAACCTATTTTAAGTTAGGGATAAAAACTTAACATTTATGAATACAAGTTTTTAGGGGAAATCTGTTATTTTCAAAGATTTAATATAAAAATACATGTTCAGGGACAGAAAATTGTAATTTGCAAACCCTCTTTTATATTAATGTAATAACTCTCCCTGTTTTTTATTATTATTATTAAATTTTTTAAACTTTCATCTCTTTAATTTAAATATTTAATAAAAATTTCAAACATTTAGTAATTTTTTTCACCATTTTTACCAACTTTATAATCTTGTCAAGCACTTAGCTTGCCGCCACTCACTCCTATGGTTTGAAAAAATAAAAATTTATAAAAATGTTGCGTTGTTTTTGGCGGGATCTCAAAAAAAAATGAAAACAAAATAATAATTCCCTTAAGAGCCCTAGAAAACCACAAAACCTGTAAAAACAAATTTACAAAACAAAATGTTAAGGGGCGGGGGAAAGTTTGCTGAAGCCAAAAGAAAAACAGTCAAGTTTAAAATACTGGAATTAAAATTGTATACAATAACAGTGTCAGGAATACATGAGTATTAAAAATTTAAATTAAAAGGTTTGTCAGAAATGACAAAAAAAAATATTTACAAAAATCCGTTTATTTAAATGCGTGGCATCAGTTTATAACTTTTAATAATATAAGGGGAGTTTTGTGTTAGGATTAGGATTTGAAAAAAGGTTTTAAGTCTGATTTTGGCAAAATTTCTTTTATCATAATATCTAATAAGAAAAAGTTATAAGTTCATTATTTAGCTTTATAAGTGCTTTAAACTATTACATTTAAAGTTTTTTTGTACATTAAGTAATTTCCGAGAATTTTAAAAAAATCTAAAATTTGACCACCATGACGTATGACTAATATTAATTATGACTATTTTCACATTTTCTTTTATAACTTCTACAATTTTTAAAGGATTTTAAAAATTCCAAAGGCTTATAAGAGAAAACATTTCAAATTTTACTGGCATTATATATATTGATAACTTTCCTTGATTATCAGTCTATTATTTTGAAAGTTAACTGTTAGTTAAGACTTTTTTTACCTTTTAAGTTTTAACTTTATAATTTCTGCTAAAATTTTTGAAAATTTTATCTGTTTATTTTCTTACTATAAAATCCCCCTTATTTCAATATCACATTGCCTACATATGCCGCTATGCTGAATTATAAATAAAAATTGTATTTATTCTCGTTAAACAAAAATATATAACATTTCCCTTAATTCCCACCAACAAATGATTTGTATTCCACCAATTTTTTCTATATGGCTTATGAAGCAATTAAGTAAAATAAACTCACTTTTAGCATCCAAATAAAAAAAGGGCACACAATGAATATGTTTCGTTTTTCGTTGTTGTCAAACTTGATCTCATTATGCAAACTGGTCTTTAGGGAGAAATTTGTTTTAAATATGAAATTTTTAAAATAAACAAAAAAAAAGTAATGGAAAATTTACGTTGTTTTTTAATAGAATAAACTGTTTTTATTTGCTTATTTTTAGAATTTTTAAAATCTTAAAAAAATTCTAAACGTTAAAGCTTTTAATGTAAAAAAAGTCATCATAAATATTAATCATACGTCCTGGTACACAAAATTTTAATATTTTATAAAATTTTTTAAAAAATAATAAAAATATTAAACCTTTATTAATCAAATATTAAAATCAATACTCTTAATTAATACTTAAATAAAGAAAATATTTAGAATATTTAAAGAAAACTAAAATTTTTCTACAAAATTTAACTAATTTTCAGTTCGTTCTTTCACTATAATAA